CATTAAATGTGCTGGATGTGCTCGTACCGAGGCCGGAGTCGTTTAAATTGCCCGCCGTAGCAGAGCAAAATTAATGCCGCCCGCATTCAATTTGGAAAAGTCGCGCGGATTTATTTGGGACAATGGAAATGCCCCTTTATTTATAGCGGGCTACTCTCAGTCATAAACTAGATGAAATTTCATTTCGGCCATGTTACTAATGACAGGAATTACCAGTGACAGTACCTCTATAAGGAAGGCATAGTGGCCTCGCGAGCTTGTTTAGAAATATTAAGGTGAAACAAAATTTATTACACCGGGTGCGTCTCAAAAGTGGTTCACCCCTATAAATTTTTTTGAGATTTGGTATGTTAGGATATGACATAAATTAGGATTGATTGACTGTATTTAATTGTTTTCGGTCACTTCCTGTTTTACCGGAAATGACTACAACTTTTCATCTTTAAATGGCACCCTCCGTAGTTTTTTACTTTATTAAATAGAAAATAACACTCTGAATAGAATGGCATATCATATGTCAATCTTTGACATTTCGCATATGGTTTATTTGAAATTATAACTTGCGGTTCGTAACGAAAATTTGACTCGAAATACCAAGTGTGTGGTATCAAATTATTCGTAAAAAATACTTTTTCGAAATACGCTAATGTGCCACCCTCGTTCCATTTGAAAAAATTGAGATATGATTAAAAATACGATTTGTGCATTTTCTAACTGGTCAGGACACGACACTAAAAACATTAGACAATCAAACTTATTTTTTCAAGGCTCCTTGATTAAGAATTAGTAGTTTTAACATACAGTACATCTGTCCGTTCTGTCGCTACGGGGTATCCGTGAAAGGGGAAACGATATTTTCTCGATGTTTTTCGTAAAAAATGAGACGACGCGTCCGATCAATAAAAATTGGACAAATTTTCAAGTAGCCAATAAAATGAGTGGGCGGAGCGATTTGCGGTGACGTACTCGTCAAGTCGACGTATAAAATATATTGCTATTTATTTTAAAGGTTTTTTGTTCGCATTCCTTTCATAGACACAGATCCAGCAAACGGACTGTAGCTATGGCACTCTAGATTGAATTTTAAAATTCGATTTTTTATTAAGCGAGAATGTCAAAAGTTGACATATGATATGTCATTCTATTCAGAATATCCTTTTCTATCGAATAAAGTAAAAATATGCTGAGTTGCTATTTAAAAATCTATATATAAAATATATAGATTGGCAAATTCCAGCCATCATCTGACCTTTGTCAAAAACAGTTGTTAGTTTGACTTTATATATAAAATTGATTGAGATATGAATAAGATATTTTGTATTGTATAAAGTCAAACGAACAACTGTTTTTGGAAATGTCGAAACCGATCACTAATAAAGAATTTTTTTGACAGAGGTTTGGACTTTGTTCTTGATTTTAACATTAAGTTTTTACGTGAATTTTTATTATAATGTCCGTTTAAAAGTGTACAGGTTTAGTATCTATGACTGGTGGGCCACCACATTGTGAAAATGAACAAACTCTGAAACTTTAGGTCGCACAACGCGCAAAGAAACTAAATATACTGGGAATAACCAAAAAAGACCGATTAATGTGTACTACCAGTCATGACCTATGCATGCGAAACGTGGACACTTAAAACCGACATCCTAAGGAATCTGCATGTTACACAACGCTCAATGGAACGAAATATTTTGGAAATAACAAAGGAAGTCCGTAGAAGAATAGAGTGGATACGACAAATGACCCAGGTAATAGATGTCATCCACAGAATCAAATCTCTCACAGACACCTGGTAAGAAGGACGGACAACAGATGGACCACAAAAATTACAGCATGGTACTTTTTAATCATATTAAGAGACCTAGAATGGTTACCTAATATTAGGTAATTAGCAGGGATAACTTGAACCCCCATTGCAAACAATAGACAACAATGGGCCCAACTACAAAGAGAGTATCTAAATGTGTGAGGGAGGCTACACCATAATTGGAAAAGGTTCTGGAATAAGCTGAGAACGATGATGATGATAATTTTTTTATTTTAGGTTCTTTAATACATCTAAGTCCCCAGTAATGGAGACTTCAGGTTAGTCTAAAAAAGACAGAATACTTAGCATACTTAGTCAATTCCAACGCTTGTTTTGAAGTATTCATAGATGATAACGTCCAGATTCAACAAGTAGACAAATTTAAATACCTGGGTGCTACTATCAACAACGAGGGTTTGGGCAAAGAAGAAATACAAACCCGAATTCAGAAGAACAAACAAGTTATTGGTTGTCTTAATAGCCTCTGGTGGGACCGAAACTTGTCTGCAACAACTAAAAAGAGACTTGGACGAACATTGGTGGAGTCAGTTCTTTGCTATGGTTCAGAGCTATGGACTTTGAGTGTAGATACGAAGCGCAAAATCCAAGTTGTTGAAATGGACTATCTTAGAAGGAGCGCAGGTATATCTAGGATGGAAAAAAAGACAAACATCGAGGTCAGGCGTATCATGAATGCATCGGAGGAGACAGTGCTAGATCGAATTGAAAAATCCAGCTTAAAGTGGTTTGGACATGTTCTACGTATGCCGGAGAACAGGTGGCCAAGAAAAGTTTTTCAATGGACTCCCCAGGGTAGAAGAAAGAGAGGCAGACCTAGAAAATCCTGGAACGGAACGGTTAAGGAAGCAATGGAAGCTCGTAACCTAGAAGCTGTAGGCTGTAGTTGGAAAAAAGTATCAAATACTTATACCAAATCCCGTTTATATATATATATATATATATATATATATATATATATATATATATATATATATATATATATATATATATATATATATATATATATATATATAATACATCTAAAAAGGAAGATACATAATCGCGAAAACTAGACGGTTGCGTTTATGCCTCCGCCTTTATTTATGACCCGCGATTTCGAGTCGTTTCTTTCGTCTGGCGAAGCACGCCGCAATGGATGTCGCTCCTCTCACCGAAAATAAACGATATCAAAACAGCGAAATCCCTGTTCTAATGGCTATAAATAAGAAGAAACGGCCGCTTTGTGTAATGCGGCGGCTCGCGAACGTCTCCCTGTCCGAGTCGATTTCCTTTTTGACGCTGCTGATGATTTATTGGACGCAGTGTACAACCGGAAACGCTGCTCTGTGCCACCGGAGAGGTGACAGGTAACGAATAAGTGGCCATCCAGTGCCACCTTTTTCTCATTCTCGATGGGAGTATGCTCATATTTCATCAGAAAATTTAAAATTTATCTAGTAGTACTCGTATTATTCTGAAATTTTTACACCGATCCATGCTTTAACCAACCAAAAGGGTTTATTTGGATAGGTCATATCAAATAAACTTTTAGTCACGTGATTAAGTTGCCCACTTTTATATATTTTCTGTAAATCAAAATATTTTAGGGGAAACAAAAATAAATTAATTATAAACATATAAACAGTTATTATTTACAACAAAACTCACCTCCTTAACAGCACTTAAGGGACATAAAGGGCCATTATTACCGCTTTCCTGTTCGAAATATTCTAATAAAGTTGCGATGAGTTTTTTTACGGCTATTAAGCTATCTTGTACACTTCGCACTAAAAGAGGTTCTTTAAAGAACAATGTTTGACTGCAAGGTTTGCTAGTAAACATTTTCAAACTTAAAGTATCACAATACTATTTATTTAAACCAAAAACTCGTACGAAATAAAAACGAAATACGAAACGAATGACAATGCCAGGAAATAAATAAATAAATGCGGCAACTTGACATTTTTTACAGCAGAGCTACCACCTGAATCCCCAGCGGGAAATCTAAATTCAAGTTAGTCACAATTGTTGGCAGTCAAAACAGTTGGCAACAATGCATTTAAAAATCGCGCCTTCGATTACGTAACTAAAAGCTTAATTGGTATCCAATATATGTATTTTATTTTTGTTGTTTTTTTATTAATATACAAGGTGTCCCAGAAATAAGTGCAAGTATTTTAACTGGTAGTGTAGTTCAACCCCAGAAACACGCCCGTGAGGTTTTTTTCGCGACAAATTTTTTTTTGAAAATTCGGATTTTTTTTTAGTTTTTAGTTAAAAAACATAATTTCTTGATAATATGGCAACGTAAGTAGTAGACTAAGTTTACAAGGAAGAAAATCCGGTGGTTCTCAAAATTTGAGCAAAAAATCATTTTTTTTAGAAATTTTCAAAGTAAAATAACTCAGTTATTTTGGACTTATTTGAAAAACGATAAAGAGAAAATATGTTTCTTTTATCGAGATCTTCTACCACCCCTTATAAAATATTTGCACTTATTTCTGTATATACACCCTCTATATACAGCAATAGATCGTCTTCTACTACAAATATAAAAAGCTTCATCCATTACATCAAAATATACTTATAAAAATATACCTATATTAAAATACACTGGATAACTGGAGGCACAAATAAAATTCTTCATTCAAGTGACATTTTCAATATAATATGTTTAAAACACAAATATCACTAGAATTCGTTGCAAATTTTACTATTATACAGGGTGTCAAATCTCAAGTCAAGTCAAATTTCAAGTTTCATTATTTATTCAAAATATTTACAAAAACTGCTCAAAGTGCCGTCCAGGCGTGTGCATTTGTGTCTTCAACAGAATGAACGGCACTTTGAGCAGTTTTTGTAAATATTTTGAATAAATAATGCAACTTGAAATTTACGTTTCACTCCACCTCCTGCCAAAACGGCACATTTCCGGACATGGGTTCCTATACTCAAATGACTTGTTTGATGCCCTCTACAACCCATTTCAGTTTGTCGCACTAATTGTGGGACACCCTTTATAAATAAACGTAAATAAAAGACGGGTTTATTTCGTGATATTCGCAATTTTTATCTTAAGAATATTGCCTTCAACGTCAAGTTAATTCAATTTATGACCAGCATTTACAGATATAGTAATATTATGCCGTTCTCACATAAAAAAAAATAAATAGAAACAGAGAATACTCACCACTGTGTGGAGAATATTTAGGTTCACTTAGTTGTTGTAGTCGTTCGCACAAATATTGGTTGGCTGTCGAATTCTGAAAAAAATATGGAAAAAGAAGGTACAAATTAGACAGAAATATACAAAAGCTCAAGCTAATTTTAGTGACAACAAACTGTATTTAGAACTAAAAAAAAACTTCGGACCTCCATTTTCTTTATTTATTTTAAGTTACCAGTGATACATCAGAAGTGTAAAAATGGATACAAATTCATCAGGGACGTGCGTATGGGTTATCACTGGAATATTTTTCAAAAAAAAGCATATCGCCACTGACTTTTTTTTTCTTCCTTTTTTTTCAAAATTGTGTAGGCCGTTTAATGCCAATTAAAAGTTATCTTCATGAGATAAACGCAATTTTATTAATTACAATTAATAAAATTAAAATAAAAGTAAGATTAATAAATTATACATTTTACCTAATTTTTAGGTAAAATATATAATTTATTAATTTTGTTTTTCCTCAGGGATTTTATTTTTCCTTCAGGGAAATCGACAAAATATCAAGAGACACCTTTTAATCGGCATTATACTGTTTACACCATTTCGCTAACAAGAGAAAAAAAGTCAGTGGCGTACATGCCTTTTTTAGAAAAATATTCCAGTGATGCGCGTCCATGGTGAATATGTCGACAATTTTTTAGCATTAAAATATATGTCGCATTTATAGTAACTTTTATCCTCAAAATTTCATTCGAAATGCTAAAAGTACTTGAAAGAAAATTATAATAAATCGAATATTAAGACTTTAACACCCTGTAGCTATGAAACAAAGCAGAATCGGACCTATGTCATATGAAAAATAAATCTTATTTTTTTGTGAGGAAACTCCAAAAGAGATTGCACATGTTTTTTGAAACACCTTGTATTTCAGTGCGGATTCTACAAATAGAAGGGGATAATATTTATAATTCTCTTTCTTTTTCTGAGTCGCATCTCCGATACGCACTTCCATTCTGGGGTGCGTGTTGTGCGACTCAATTTGAGCGTGTCTTCAAATTACAAAAGAGAGCTGTGCGATATTCACTGAGGCTAACCAGTCGTGCTCACTGCCGGGACTTGTTTAAAAGATATAAAATATTAACTCTTCCTTCCCTATTCATACTCGAATCCGTCTGCCTAGTTCGCAAGCACGTATCGAGTATTTCTCTAGAGCCAGTTCATGGCTATCCAATTAGGAACGCAGAGCATAACATGTATCTGCCAACCCCTCACTCTGAGTTAGTAAAGAGTTCCCAATTGTACAATGCAAAAAAAAATGCACTATCATCTGCCATCTGAAATTAATTCCATTTCATCCTTTCCTGCATTTCGCAGAGCCTTGAGATCATACTTACTGGAGAAAGCCTTTTACGCGGTTAACGATTTTTTTATTAATATCTAGGGTTCTAAATTTAACACACATTCACTAAATTTAAGAAATGATTTTGTTTTCTATCCATTTAAATTTAGTATTGACATTATATACAGTTGTTTATTTACATGTATGTTTATATTTTATTTATATTTAATTAAATAAATTTTTGACAATGTACAATTTCTATAATTGTATAAAGTATTGTTCTAGTTTTGTATGTTTGCTGTTAGTTTTATATGTTTTTCTATTGTTAAGTGAAGTTTTGTATGTTTTTTATATTCTTTTTTTTAAGCTTTGTCAACAAAATTGTAAAATTTTTTTATGACAATAAAGCAATTTCTTTCTTTCTAGACTTTAAACTAAGTATTGTTTATTTTTTATTATTATTTATTAAAGTTTTACCACTCACAAGGTTTTATGACAAACCAATAGAGGAATATTGTCAAGACTTAAATAGATGTCAACTTGGGTTTAGATCAAATTGGGAAAAAGCATGTAAAGTATAATTCTAGTAAACCAATTTGATACAGGCCCAAGAGATCGGTTACCTGCAGAACATTGACCCAGATATGTTTTTAAATAACACTAAAAATTAAACAATTAAAATACAACAATCTCGGATCGATAATCAAACGCAGGTTACCGAAGTTCGATTTCCTTATGGTCATAGCCGGGTGAATGTAATTAGATGAAAACATATTGAACGACGTAACCAGCGATGACCACGAGGGATAGAAAATATAAAAAGAGTATGCTGAAGAATGTTCGGGTAGTCGGTTAGTTAGTGGCAGAGTTGACAGCAGTTAGTCGTCAGGAGTCGGTAGTTGAGAAGACAGAAGTCAGCCAGTCAGATAGGATGCTGTTGTAAGTACCTCTTTGAGCATACCCTTAAGTCTTGGCATTTCCTGAAATTGTTATTTACACTTATTTGTTGAAATTGTTAGTACACTTTTATTTAATAAATGTATATTTTCCTAATGGTTGTTTTGATTAAAAGAGAAAACCTGGTATAGCGATCCTAGCAAGCAACCCCCAGCTAGGTCGCGACAATATTATTAGATGTAATACAAAACTAAGTTTAATTATCTCCACAATTTCGTTATTTGTTCCCTCCAATTTTGTTCCAATAAAATCCTACTGGTCCAGAGGAGCGCCAGCAGAATTAACAAGTTAAATAGAACGGGCGCCCGGTGGTGGAAAACTGGCAATTCCCTCTTGCTTTGAAATGGAAAAATGGAAAAAGTTGCCAGTGGCTCGATCGCCTCTGGCCTCGCTGTTCTCTCGGGTTTTCGCGCGCTATCCAATTTCTAAGCGGATTTGTTTTTCTTTTTCGCTTTTTTACTTTTGTACTAAAATTGAAAAGTCTATTGCAGCTACGCGAGGTGGGTAGCGATGATAGGACCTCATCCTTTGCAAATTGCTTTAAAGCGATCTATTTTTTATCAAAAGTTTATCTTTGTTCAATATGCTAATGTACAGGATATCCGATTTTTTTGGTAGTTTATGAGTAGAGATACAAAGATGCGGTTTTCATATTACTGTGTTACTTTTTATGAAACTAAAGATGCTGCACGCTGATTTGTCTTAGTCCTCTTAGTTCCTGTACGAATTTGAAAATGTTACTTTTTTCTGATCCCCTTTGTATCTCGGTTATCTTATATCTTATCGGAAAGATGAAAAGCGAGCCCCATAGGGGTTCACGTAGAATTCAGTGGCGTATCTATACTTTCGCTACGATCTGTCATTCTTTAAATATGACTCAAACTTATTTGATTAATGACTTGGCAATATTCTCTTCTTCTTCTTTACGTGCCGTCTCTTTCGTGGAGGTTGGCGATCACATTGGCAAAATCTTCACGATTCTCGGCTTTCCTTATGAGTTCTTCAAAAGTTAGGTAAGTCCAGCTTCTGATGTTTCTCAACCAAGATAGTTTCTTCCTGCCGAGACCTCCCTTTCCTTCAATTTTACCCTTAACTATCAATTGTAAGACGTGGTATTTTTCATTTCTCAATATATGCCCTAAGTATGATGTTTTTCTTATTTCTATTATATTGAGCAATTCTCTTTCTCTGCCTATTCTGTTGTAGACTTCGATATTTGTGATATGGGCTGGCTGTCCATGGAATTTTAATCATTCTTCGATATATCCATGTCTCGAACGATTCGAGGCGATTCATCTCTTGAACTTTCAGTGTCCATGTTTCTGCTCCGTATAATAGAATTGACCAAACATAACACTTAACGAGCCTAGTTCCCAACTCAAGGTCCAATCTGGGGTTCTGGAAGACGTTCTTCATTTTTAAAAACGCATTTCTCGCTCGTTCTATTCTGGTTTTTATTTCCACGTCATTGTTCAAGATGTCAATTATCCAGGACCCCAAATATTTGAACTTGTAAACCTGTTCTAAGGTATTGCCCTCTATTTTGATACAAATTGGCACATTTTGGTTCTTTCCAAATACCATGACTTTAGTTTTAGAGGAATTGATCTTCATCCCGTATTTTTTACAGGAGCCTTCAAGTCGTTCCACTAAACTTTGGAGACCAGTATCAGAGTCGTCAATAAGTTAATATTTTATATTAATTCATTAAGAAATAAAATATATTTAGGAAACATTTTACGGGATTACTACATCAAACAAACTGACAAATATTTCTTTTATCCTGACAAAACATTGTTAAATATATCCAGATAAAAGAAACTATCAATAAAATTTCTCATAAATAAAGAAATAAATGTATCCGAAAAATGCCAACTCCATAAATAAGACTTCCAGAGTGGACTACACTAATGCTTGTTTACAATTCTGTTGGCAGTTTTAGAAGTGATGTGTTACGCATTTTCCACACATTTTTATTAAGATTATCTTAAAATAAATCATAGTTGTCTTTTGGCAGGATCTGTCAAAAGGTATTTGCAGTGTTTCGGAACGTTAATAATTAAATTTGACATTAGCAAGAGAGACATTTCATAGCCTGAAGTGCGAATAAAATGTCTGTTTATTCTTCTAAATTTAATGGCCAGACCAATTTTTCAAGTGGGATAAATGTTGGCTTGGCGCAGTGTTTTTACTTTCTACTCATTTATCTGGTAGATTTTTCTGATCTATTTTAACTAACTGTTTGTATACAAATAACATTAAATAACATTTTCCTTCTGTGTATTAATAATTTAGTTTTAGCAATAAAGCAATTTCATCAGCGCTTTTTTATTGTATTTACGAAGACTAAAGCCGTTTGTTACAAGATATTTTTTTCCATACACAGAACTGTGTACAGATTAAATACTTCAAAAGAAGCAGTAAATAAATCTGGACGTAAAATTCTTCCTCTCAGCTCTTCTTTTAATACTTTTTTCGGATGTAATGAGCGCCTACTTTATACATTTTCAGATCGTCGTTAATTTACATTTTTAATTTCGCACAGCTTGGAAGCAGGCTGCATTAGTTCCATTTGAAGGCTCGTCCCTTTTTGCTCACCACTTCTAATTAAAAACCGCGCCACCAAAGGGTAATTTTCTATGCGGACCGTTTTTTGGTTTTAAGCGGAACCGTCACGTTCCTTTTTAACAATTTGTAAAGATTTAACAAGATAAAACGTTAAATAAAGCAAATAAAAAGGTTTTATTTTAATAAACATTGGAGCAGTAGAAAAAAGAGTCCATTTCACTAGTCCGAAA